AGATTATAGTACAATGTTACAGGAAATGTCTGGAATGCCCCCGATTAGTGATGGGACACTCAGATTACTTAAAATAGCAAATAAACCTAGGCCCATTAACACAGGCCCAGTACATAACAACTTAAACACAAATACAGACTAATAAGAACACTTATCAGCCGAACCATCAATACATAAAACCCCTCAACCTAACATCTATGTGTTTAGTTCTCTCATGGAAAACTGGGTTGGATGAGATGTTGATTGCAGCCTGATTGTCACAGTATAGCTTCATGGGTTTGCTTATTGAGAACCCGATTTCCTGCAATAGATTCTTCAACCACACTAGTTCACATGCAGTGTGTGCCACAACCCTGTATTCTACTTCTACACTGCTCCTTGCTACCACAATCTGCTTCTTGCTCTTCCAAGTCACAAGATTTCCTCCAAGAAAGGTGCAATAACCTGTAGTGGATCTTCTGTTTGATACAGATCCAGCCCAGTCTGCGTCGGTGTATTCAACTATTTCAAGATCACCTCCTGGCTTGTACAGTAACCCACGACCTGGAGCCCCCTTCAAATACCGCACAATCCTAAGAACTGCATCCCAGTAAGGTACCTGAGGACTCTACATAAACTGGCTTACCACGCTGATAGCAAATGAGATATTAGGCCTAGTGATAGTTGGATAATTCAGTTTTCCCACTAGCCTTCTATACCTTCCAGGGTTATCAAACAATTCACCTGTGTCACTTCCCAACTTCACATTCAGTTCAATGGGAGTTTTTGCTGGTTTAGCACCTAGCAACCCTGTTTCTTCCAACAGGTTGAGTACATATTTCCGCTAACAGAGGTTTATGCCTTGCTTTGATCTAGCAACTTCTATACCCAGGAAATACTTCAACTTCCCAAGATATTTTGTCTGAAAGTGATCTTGTAGGAAAGTCTTCAATCTATCAATCCCAACTCTATCACTGCCAATTATGACTATGTCATCCACATAAACTACCAACAAGATCTTCCCGACCATAGAGTCATAGCTAAATACTGAATGATCAACTTGACATTGTCTCATTCCAAACTCCTTCACCACCTCACTAAATTTTCCAAACCAAGCACGGGGAGACTGTTTGAGCCCATAAATCACCTTCTTGAGTTTACACACCTTACCATCCTCCCCCTGAGCAACAAACCCTGGTGGTTGCTCCATGTACACCTCCTCTAGAAGATCCCCATGGAGAAAGGCATTTTTAATATCAAGCTGAGATAGAGGCCAATCATGCATGACAGCTAAGGAAATCAACACACATACGGAGCCAATCTTTACAATTGGAGAAAAGGTTTCGACATAGACACATATGGAGCCAATCTAGACATGAACCAGCAGCCCCAAGAGAGTTTTTTTTTTTTTTTCTTTTTCAAAGTGATCTTCTTTCATGGTAATAGGGAATCAAAATTTTTCTGGAGCACAATTTCTTTTGTGATTTGTTGGGGAATCTGGAGAAAAAGAAATAGAAGATGTTTTGAATACAAAGGCAGAGATACACGAAGGCATGTTGCAAAGGGATGTTTGGGGCCTAATTTAGTTCAAACTTGTGGTCATTACTTGAAGTAAATTTGACTAGTTCTATATAACATTGTGAGATAAGTTGTTATTTATGTAATGTAATGATATCATATATAATGGTGCTCAGATAGGTCTTAGCTGAAATTGATATAATTACTTTTTATATCAATAAAAATTTCCTTGTGTCTTCGTTATAAAAGACAATTATGTCAAAATGGGAAAACGTTTAGCAAATAAGCAGGTCTATCTTGCCAAGAAGGTTTGGTCTTGCAGGTTATTTTGCTCAAAGAGCTTGGTTGGGATGCTGGTTTGCCAAGACTTTGGTATGCTTAATTGCGGTTTGCGGCTGATGGTTGGGATGCTGGTGTGCTGGATAGGGTTACAAGAGCTTCTCCTTGGAAGTCTATCCATGCTATCTTGCCTTTGTTCCTCAACCATATCGGGTATAACCCTTGCTCCGGTAATTCTATCAAATTCTGGGAGCATGTTTGGTTGGGTAACACCTCCCTTAAAAGGTTATTCCCTTCCGTTTATGCAATCTCTAATCGAAGGGATGGACCTGTTGCTTCCTTTATATTTCCTTTCAGTTCCACCTTCGGTTTTGTGTGGGACCTTGGCCTTAGAAGAGGTCTCTGTGATTGTGAGGTTGACAGGGCATTGGAGTTGATTCAAAACCTTGATGGTGTTTATTTAGATCTCTCTCACAATGATTGTTGGGTTGGACTCTTTCCCCATTGGGCACCTTCACTTGCTCTTCTTTCTTTCTATTGTTATTAAGTTCAATTGATAATGGGGACCAGCCTTTTTCAGTGAGAGAGGTCTGGGGTGAGCTTGCTCCACATAAGATTGGGGGTTTCTACTAGGAATTATTTTGGGATAGAATTAGTACATGTGATCTTCTACAAGGAAAAGACCTAATCGCTGCTTGTCCCCTCACTGGTGTATCCTTTGTAAGGCTAATGGAGAGTCTAATCATTACTTATTAATATCCTGTTACCTTACACTTTCAATTTGGGAATGGTCTTTTTCCTTGTTTGAGTCGAGGTGTGTCTCCCTACCAAATGTTCAAAGGCTGTTTGACCCTACCTTTGTTAGTTGGCAAAAGAAGAGGGGAAAAACCTTATGGAGATGTTTAAGGGCTGCAGTTTGGGAAGAGAGAAATCAAAGGCTATTTGAAGGCAAAGAAAGAAGTATGGATGTCCTAATTGAAGTCATTACAGTTAGGGTGATCCATTGGGTGAAAACTTTAAAACTTTTTGATGGAATTCCTGCAATAGATTTGAGGAGGAAGTGGCTGATTCTGAGCAATTGAAAGAGTTAGTTGTGCCTACTTGGTCTCCCCCTACTAATGGGTTCATCAAGCTGAATTTTGATGGTAGCAGTGAAGGAAATCCCAAACCTTCAGGTATTGGAGGTGTTTTTAGGGATGAGGATGGAAAAATTGTGGCTCTTTTCTTTGCTCCCGTTGGCGTTGGGGATTCATTAAGAGAGGAAATCTTTGTTGTGGTGGAAGGAGCTAAGAGAGCCAGAGAGCTTAACCTTACTAAGGTGTTAATTGAAGGAGATTCTAAGATGGTTATTGGCTGGCTTCAAAAGGAAGAGAGGGGATGGTGGGCTTACATGAACGAGAAAAGGAAATTTAGACACTTGGCACAAGGAATGGATGTCAAGATTCCTCTTCAACCTTGGCCCCAAAACCATTCCATCTGTTCAAAATAGTCTGTCTTTTATGGACAATTTCATATTAACAGTACAAAGTGTGGATTGCTATTATTAATTGGACAAAAATCCAAGACAAAGTTGGGTATGAGACTGGTATGAACTTCTGGAATGAATATGTGATTAATTCACAGGGTTATCTATATGATGGATGGTCCAGATCATCCACAGGATCCTTCTACGTGGTGGAAAACCTAATAAGGAAATCCTTTTCATGTGCATTTACATGTTTTCCACAAATCCTATTCTGCCATTGTACTCTATTTAGAGTTCCGATAGTGATGCTAAATCAACACATTGTTAGTGTTCTTCATTAATGCATAAGAAGCTAATGATGAGCAACCTATTTGTTTTTGCTTTTGACTCGAGGCCCTTTTTTATACAAGTAGAATTGCATTACTCAAAGGAGGGAGAGATTCCCCCAAAAGAGAGTTATTTAGCCTCATGCATTAAAGACTATTTTGTTTTTTGCTTGCAAGCACTGAAATATTTTTATTGACAGGTTTGAGGAGGTTGCTTTCAGCTTCAATGGAGGGAAAGACTCAACTGTAATAATTTATACATGTTTTCTAACTTCACATTTTCAGTAGAAAGAAAGTCTGCTGCATAAATATTTATGTGTACACTGCCTCTGCAGGTTTTGCTCCATCTGCTTAGGGCTGGCTATTTCTTGCACAGACAGAAGCTCAGTTCTTCTCATGGGAGCCCAACAGACTGTGAAATGAAGTGTCCTATACGAACTATCTATTTTGAGAGCCCTTCTGCTTTCCCTGAAATAAACTCTTTCACTTATGAAACAGCCACTATGCAAGTGCAGCTTTTAATTTGGTTTACAACATATTTCTTGAATCTGTAAACTGTTCCTTTGTCAATAGAGATTAATTTTTGGATTTTTACCTTTGGAGCAGATATGAGTTGCAAATGGAAATTATTAGACTTGATTTCAAGTCTGGTTTGGAGGCTCTGCTGAGAGAAAAGCCAATCAGAGCAATTTTTCTTGGTACCAGAATTGGTGATCCTAATGCGGTATGCTAGTACATTTGTAATGCTTGTCACAGGGTACCACTTCCCTTGTGTCAGATAAAATGCTTTTTTTTTTGCTTCTCTATTATCCTGTGGAAGTCTTCTTAAATCATAACTACCATTAGAAGTGTAATGGTACACATTGTCACAATTTATATTTGTTTACTTTCTATTGCAGGTTGGCCAAGAACAATTCTCTCCTAGCTCTCCTGGATGGCCTCCTTTCATGAGAGTGAACCCTATACTGGATTGGTCATACAGGTCTATAACAAATTATAAGTTATAAGTTGTATACGTGCATACACATCAACAAACACTGATACACAGTAATATGCATGTACATTTATGGTAGTTGAGTATAGTAAGTGGATGTGTTTCTACTTTCTGTATGCAACTGAAAGTTCTGACTTAATTATGTCTGACACAGGGATGTATGGGCCTTTCTTCTAACCTGCAAGGTCCAGTACTGCAGTCTGTATGATCAAGGGTAAAATTTCCCCTTTCTGATTGACTGAAGAGTATCTTAGGTCCTCTGAACTTTCAAGGGCAAGGAAGTGCAAAATACATCATATTAAGTTTTCTCTTTGATGCAGTTTAAAATTCCCTTCTTGAACCATTGGTTTGCTGATAACATCTTCAATATTTTCTTTTTTGAATCTAATGTTCTGGTTTTTTACAGTTATACTTCCATTGGGAGCATACATGACACACGTCCGAATGCATTGTTGTCAATTAGTGATTCCTCTGGTGGCAATGAGAACTTCAGACCGGCATACCTACTTTCAGATGGAAGATTAGAAAGAGCTGGTCGGGCAAAAAAAAGTACTCCTATGGTTTATGGAAATTTACCTGTCATAAGCAATGGTGTGAAGAGTGAAGACTCACACCTAAGCAGCACCCTCACAGCCTCGGTCATTGCTGTAGGTGATGAGATTTTGTAAGTACCTCATTTTTATTCTATAGGTTTTGTTGGGATGGTTTAATGTTTATTGTTCTCTGTTTTTCTTGTAATTGCTTAATCTTTTTGTCTTCACTACTTTGCAGTATACCAATAACAAATGTATAACCATCCAGGACTTTCATTTATGCTTATATATAGGAACTAGTGATGTATGTTTCTGTAGGTTTTGATTGGTGCTTGATGTATGTTTCTGTAGTTTTGTTTGGTTGTTTTCTTGAGGTTTCTTAGGGGGTTGGGGCTGATGTTGGTAATGAAGCTTCTGTCTTTTTCTCTCAGGTGATTTCTGGTCACCTTCCTTTATATTCTCTTTTTCTTTTATTATATAAAAAAGGCATTTGTGCGAGCTTAATTTAAGTTATCTACCAACTGAAAAGGATGCTTATTGTGGATTGGAAGAAGTCATTGACTATAGGGGAGAATGATGGAGAAAGGATTTGTGGAGAAAACAAAATGGAACATAGCTTAGCCTGAAGATAAGGGAACAGAAGATGGCTACGGTGCTTGTTGAAGGAACTAAGATGATTGACTGGCTGAAAGAGTTCCTCTCTGATGCAGAAACTAAAGGGAAGCAGAGTAGATGGAAAGAAAATTTTCTCAGAGATGGGTATAAGGTATGTAATGGAAAGCAAGAGGAATGTAAAGAGATCCTTCATATCTCTTTCTGAATTTTTTGCTAAAGGAAGGAAGCAAATGGTCTGTTTTCCTGAAGGAAAAAACAGTCAAGGGTGGAAAGGAGTGGCTAATATTTGATCAAACTTCCTAGACAGAAAGATAATGGAAAAAACATAGATGATGGAAAAGGGGAGTGGCCAGAGTTTGTATACTAGCATTCGTAACCTGCCTGTGGAAGAGGAACCAAAAAAGGAGTTCCTTGCATTGGCACATAGCAGTAGTAATCCCTCCCTGGTAGCAGATAGGACAGGGCATTGGGACAACATGCTAGTCTTAGAAGCTGAGAAGAGGGTACTAGACTGGAGGAAAGTTGCAGAACTCCTGAAGGTTAAGCTGTGCTTAGAGAAGACCTTTATTTTAACTCCATTTGATCATGAGAAGGCAATGCTGGACCCTCTTGAAAATCAGGTAAATGTTGAAGCTTTATGTATTCAGGACATTCTGGGAACCTTTTCAATCTTTAAATGGTCTCCATTCTCCAACTCCAAGTTCTTTTCAATTGAAGATAATGTGATTTTTTGGTTAGTTGGGTTGCCATTCCATCTGTGGAATCAGGAGATTGCAAACTCAATTGCTCTGCTGTGTGGTGCTCGCCTAGATGGTGTTTTCTGGGGAGATCTACGTAGCGCCGCTCTTCTTCTGAGTGGAGTAAAACCAGAAGAAATACCGAGGAAGGTGATCATTGGAGTGGGAGGATTATTACTACCGGTGTGGTTAGCAACCTCCATTGAAGCTGCCTTGTGGAGGGAGGAGACAGGAGGAAGACGAAAGGGTTGAAGGTATGGTGCTACGTGTCTGTCTGGGGATGGACAAACAAAAGCAGATGGAAACTTTCACCAAAATGGAAAGACAGCTTTTAAGCAGCCCGAAGGTTCTAGGTCGGGAGAGAGACCGGATCTGCTCCTCACACCCGACACCTCACAGGCGCCTCACACGCACATCCTATCATGCATTGGGAACATCTCCTGTACTTATTAGTTATTATTCACGGGAGATGTTCCCAATGCACGGTGGATGTGCCTGTGAGGCGCCCATTTGTGAGGAGCAGATCCTGCTTCGTTAGGAGAATGGTATAAGACGTGAGCAACAACGCAAGGGTGTGACATCCAATAGAACATTCATTCAGTCATTAGCTTCTGGCACCAAACTGAACAATTTGAACGGATTAAATAAGTCAAACATTGTAAGGAAAGGTCTGGTTTTAAATGCATTTGAACCACAAATAGGTAGCTGCTGAAGATCACATGTCAGCTGTATCCAAGAATGATGGGCCTTTAAAGTTGAAGTCGGCCTTGGGGCTTGACAGGCCCAACACTGTTTTAAATGGGCCAGAACCAATTGTTCCAAGTCTTAAGTCGGCACGTGGTGACTTAAAAAGGCACGTGATTGAGGGAACCTCTCAGGTAGACGGGAAACAAGGTCTACCATCTTCTACCTCGAGCTCCTCCAGTCGGTCGAATGACCCTGTTCAAGTGAACAGTTTGTTACAATGGCTTCCTTCAAAGAAACTGGTTCAGCTATCACCAGATCATTGTAATCCGAGATGTGTTAAGTGCAGCGAGATAGATAACCTGGAACTGGAAATACTAACTGATGATGAAGAGTGCTCTGATTCGGATGTTGAAGAAACTCTCAGTCTGGGAAGTATAGATCTACAAAACCTGAAAGATATCTTTGAGGAGGAAAGTTTGAACACTGAGTTGTTGTTTCCAGAAGAGGTGCTGGATCAATGTGGCCTCGGCATCAAGGAACAGGTGTTTAAGGTAAATCCCAACAGTGGTGAAGAAAATTTCTCCCCTTTAGAACTTGTGTTGCATAAAGTTAAGATGAATTTAGAAGCTCTTGCTAAGGTCCGGCAGAACTCACCTCATCTAATAAAAGAGCCCACTCCACTAAACCGGCCTATGCAGGTTATCAGGCCAGAGGAATGTGAATAAACTTTGACACCTAACACAGGGATAACTTCTGCTGCAGGGGGTGAAAAAGTTTTGGTTGAAACTAGTCCACTTCCACAATGGAATTAGGAACAAGGAAAGGTCTTGGACTCGACACTTGCAGATGACATCCCACTTCGAACCCCACTTCACTCACTTCCATTAGGTTCAGGTAAGCCTGTCGGTCCTGTCCATTTGTTTTCAGTTACTAATCTGGGTTCTCTGCCTGTAACAGATGTCCCGACATCACAACCAGAACAAGCGGGTGGTAGAAGGAGAGTGTTGGGGTAGAAGTTGGGGAGGGGGTTTCTTTAGAAAAAAAGAGACAGGAGGAGGAATTGGAAAGGATTTGGGATCAGATTTGTACTTTGTTGGAGGAATACAAACAGAAAGAGGAACTGAAGGAGGTAACCTCAAAAATTTCAAACCGGATGCAAGTATCAATAAAATGGAGCAGAAGACAGGAAATAAAGAGCTTTCTAGGAAGTCTGTGGACAATAAGGGTAGGAAAAAGACGAAAAGATCTCAAGTAAAGAGACTAATTTTAGTCATCAAAGGGAATATTGAGTTCAGTGGTAGAGGGGAGAGGAAGAAAGCCCCTAATTGATGGGAATTTAGTGTCCTTAAGGGCTTAAAGGGTAGGAAAAAGAAGAAAGATCTGAAGTAGAGAGACTAATTTCAGTCATCGAAGGGAATATTGAGTTCAGCAGTAGAGGGGAGAGCACGAAAGCCCCTAATTGATGGGAAGTTAGTGTCCTTAAGGGCTTAAAGTGATATGGTTCTATGAAGCTCATCAGTTGGAATGTAAGAGGGTTTGTAAGTGCTAGAAAAAGGAGATTAATTAAGGAGTTGCTTAGAAGAGAAAGACCTGATATTGTGATGCTACAGGAGACCAAACTAGCAGAACTAGATAGAAGGTGGATTAGAGGGTTTTGGAGAGCAAGAGGAGTGAATTGGTGTTCAGCTCCTTCATGGGGAGCATCAGGGGGAATATTAACTCTATGGAGGGAGGATGTTGTAGAGCCAATAGAGGAACTGATAGGTAATTTTTCCATATCCCTAAAATTCAGGATGGTGGAAGATGGTTTCACATGGGTGCTAACAAATGTGTACAGACCAAATAATCATAGAGAGAGGAATGAGTTATGGGAGGAGCTTTATGGCATCCAAGGCCTATGGGAAGGCCCCTGATGTCTAGGGGGGACTTTAATGTAATAAGATTTACAACAGAGTCAAATAATCCTAGACAGGCCATTACCAATGTTTTAAAACGCGGAGGCGTGATGCGAGGCGTTCCACTACCTAGAGGCGTGAGGCATAATTCAGAATGCAAGAGGTGTAAGCCTTCTTAAGAGGAGGGGGGTTAGGGGGAGGATGAAGAGGAAGGGGGGATCTCATTTTTTCTTTATTTTTAATAAAAATCTTTTATATTAAGAAGAATAAAGATGCATAATAGTAGTTCAAAGGGGGGTCTTGTCGAAGCGAAGGCAAGCGAGCGAAGCGAGGGCAAGGGGCAAACCATTTTCTTTCCCCTTATCTTTTCTTCCCTTCCCTTTCCTTTTCTTTTCTCTTTTTTTCTTCTCTTTCCTTTCTTTTTCTTTTTCTTTTTCTTTTCCTTTCTTTTCTTTTCCTTTCCTTTCCTTTCCTTTCCTTTCCTTTCCTTTCCTTTCCTTTCCTTTCCTTTCCTTTCCTTTCCTTTCCTTTCCTTTCCCTTCCTTTCCTTTCCCTTTCTTTTCCTTTCCTTTCCTTTCCTTTTCTTTCCCTTTCTTTTCTTTTCCTTTCCTTTCCTTTCCTTTTTTTCTTTTTTCTTTTTTTTTTCAAGTATTTTCATATCAGGTGTGCATGAGGCGCAAGAGGCGTACGCCTCTAGCACACCTCATGAAAAAAGCGCAAGAGGCGTACGCCTCAGAGGTATCAACGTCTCTGGCATACGCCTCAGGGCGTTTTGGGAGCGCCTCGCCTGGAGGTGCGTCCCACGCCTTTTAAAACACTGGCCATTACAACTAGTATGAGGAAGTTTAATGATTTCATCAATTCCTGTGCATTATCGGAACTTCCCTTACTACAAGCAATCTTCACTTGGTCCAACTTTCAGGAAAACCCAACTTGTTCAAAGCTAGATAGATTTCTTTTCAATGAAGGTTGGGAGAATCATTGGAGAGGTTTGGTGGCCAAGGCTTTACCTAGGGTTACTTCCGACCATTGTCCTATAGAAGTAGGACAAGAACCATTTGGAACCGGACCAAGATCCTTTAGATTTGAGAATATGTGGTTAACACATTCGGATTTTGTGAATAAGGTGAAGGATTAGTGGAGTGAAGAGATGGGGGGGGGGGTGAAATGGAAAGGGGTCAGATTTCATAAAAAGTTAAAAAGATTGAGATCCAAAATAAAAGAGTGGAATGGGGACCAAAGATTGATGAGTGGGCAAGATCGAGAAGTGAGATGGAAACTGAAAAAGGAATTAGAAGAGGTCCTGTTGAGGGAGGATATATTATGGAGACAAAAGTCTAGGCATAAGTGGATCTTGAGGTCGATGGAGTTGATATAACTTCACAAGAGGAGATTGCTAGTTGCTTTGTGGTTTACTTCAAATCAATTTTTCAAAGACCTTTGGAGAATCGGGTGAGAGTGGAGGATGAGGATTAACCAATCTTGAATGAGATGGACAGGGGATGGCTAGTAAGAACTATTGAGGAAAAGGAGATTAGACAACCTGTCTTCTCTATGGATAGAGGTAAGGCTCCAGGACTAGATGGATTTACAATGGTACTCTATCAAGATTGTTGGGGTATACTCAAAGAAGATTTGATAGGGGTCATAAGAAAATTTGAGGAAAAACATGTGGTGAGTCCTGGAGTAAATGCTCCATTCCTAGCTCTTGTTCCCAAAAAGGCTAGTGCTAAACATTCCAAAGATTTAGGCCGATTAGCCTGGTGATTAGTATCTATAAGATATTAGCAAAAGTGCTCTCAAGGAGGATCAAGGCAGTTCTAGCTACTCTCATTAGTCAAGCACAAGGAGCTTTTGTACAAGATAGACAAATAATAGATCAGATCCTCATAGCAAATGAAAGTGTGGAGGAAATGAGGAAATTAGGCGGTTAAGGTTTTGTGTGCAAATTAGACTTAGAAAAGGCTTATGGTTTAGCGGATTGGAGTTTTTTATTGGAGGTGTTAAGAAGGTGAGGCTTTGGGGACAAATGGTGTAATTGGATAAGTGGTTGCCTAACTTCCCGTCATGACTCAGTCCTAGTGAATGGAGTAGTTAAGGACTTCTTCCCAACTAGTAGAGGCATAAGTCAAGGTGACCCGCTCTCACCCTTCATTTTCAAACTTGTTGCTGATGTGTTTAGTAGATTGATCTCAAAAGCAGATGGGCAAGAGCTAATAAAGGGTTGGAGACTAGGTAGAAGAAGCATTCCGGTGACCCACCTTTAGTTTGTTGATGATATTATCATTTTTTTTGTGAGGGGAGTGACTCACCCTTCATTTTCACACTTGTTGCTGATGTGTTTAGTAGATTGATCTCAAAAGCAGATGGGCAAGAACTAATAAAGGGTTGGAGACTAGGTAGAAGAAGCATTCCGGTGACCCACCTTCAGTTTGTTGATGATATTATCATTTTTTGTGAGGGGAGTGACTTATGGAAGGTGGATAATCTTAAGAATCTAATAAGGGATTTTGAGAATGCATCCAATTTGAGATAAACCTTGATAAAAGTTGTGTAGTAGGAATAAACTTGGAGGATGGGGAGGTAGAGTCCATTGCAGTGTGCTTAGGTTGTGCCACCACTTCTTGGCCTTTGACCTACCTAGGGCTTCCCTTGGGTGCAAACCCGAAAGAGAGTAGTTTCTGGTCCCCTATTGTGGAGAAATTTGGGAAATGTTTGGCGGATTGGTAAAAGAATTACATCTCTATAGGGGGTAGGGTAACCTTGTTTAGGGATTTCCTGTGGGAACTAGGAGAGGCGAAGAAGGATCATCTAATTAGATGGGAGATAATCAATAGAAGCAAAGAAGAAGGGGGCTTGGGGATAGGGAACATAGTTCAGAAGAATGAAGCTCTTTTAGGGAAGTGGCTATGGAGAGAGAGAGAGATTATGGCATGAGGTGGTGTCAAGCAAACAAGGCTGCTCAGAGAATGCTTGGGATGTCGGGATATCTCGTCGAATGATTCTGAAAACACCTTGGAAGGCTATACATGGTATTCTCCCTCGCTTACTCAGGTTTATCAGGTACGAAGCTTGCTCTGGCATTTCTATTTGTTTTTGTGAGGATGTTTGGGCGGGTAACCAACCTCTCAAGGATCTTTTACCCTCGCTCTTCTCTCTCTCTCTCTCTCCCCCTTTACAAAAATGAGCCAATTTCCAAGTTTCTCCCTAGTCCAATACTCCATTTGTCTTTAAGTTGGGACTTTGGCTTTCGTAGGGGATTAAGGGATGATGGACGGTTTGTGTTTCTGAGTTGCTTCTTTTACTCGAATTGGTTTTGTTTGGACCCCACTAAATCTGATCAAAGAGTTTGTCCCCTCCCCC